ACTTGTCGTTGGTGTAGTCAGCGTGCTTCTGGTATAACATGGACCCATGTAAGTTCTGTCCTAACACCTCTCTCTCTCTCTTGAAGTTGTCGTGGGATTTTAACCACTGGCCAACTGACAAGGTGGACACAAATTTACACTTTCGCTTCGGTTTTTCTTGTTCTAATATTTCAACAAAATGCATAGGATGGACTTTCTTTTGTATTCTGGGCTGGTTCTGTTTCGCAGGATACCAGTAAGATGTTTGACGGTGTTTCTCTTCTGAGGTTTCCTTTTTGGTCCCGCATTTGATCAGCGTGACTCACGAGGCTGTCCGACCCAAACTGAACGTCGTATATCACGTTTCTTAGTCACCTTCTTATGCAGCTCATCGCCTGATTTGGATAATTAATTATGTGGTCTCTTATCACGACGTTTGGGCTATTGTGAAACAGCTGTTGGCGAACACCATTTTGCCTTATTGAAGTGTTCTTCGATTTACGTATTTCGAAACAGTACCCGTTCCTTTTAGGGTTTGATGACATGATGTGGCACCCGAAGTTTACGTTGAAATAGGACCTCGTCTAGGGATATTGCGTTCCGCACTTATGGATTAGTGGTTGTGCATTATGTTAGTGAGGAAAATTAACGATGTTCTCTCGAAAAGTCCTTTTTCTCTAGATCTTTTGAAGTGCTGGTTAGAACGTATACGCAAAATGTTTAGATTGTCCATTTCGTGATAAGATAGAAACCTCATATGGAGGTTAGCGTTCCGGCGGCAAAAATCAGTGAACTGTGAGAAAGCAAATTGAATGGTTTTATAAAAGTCGTAATTAAAATTACAACCTACATAAAACATGTCACATGGCGTATGGAATTTTCGATACACTCAGAACGCCGTTCTCACACTACAAATTGCCTGATTTTTTTTAGAACCAACGCATAAGAAACACCAAAGTGGTAATATACTTGTAGACAGGCAGAAACAGTGATGTCTATCAATATTTTGGTATCGCAGTCACTTCGGACAATTCGTTCTGAGAGTGAAAGACAATGAGGAGATGAAGACCGTCTGCTTTGTCACAGTTTTTCTGATGCCAGAGCACTTCGGGTACAATTCTTGACCAATTGTTGGATCTCAAAATCCAGGTATCTTTGTGCCATGGCCTTCATGTGATTCATTCCAGGATTGACAGTAAGGAATTGTCGGGAGAATCGGTTTCGGAGGCTGGTTGGAATAACAATGCGGTATGGGAACAAAGGGCAGTCGTAGGCTATGGACATCATTTCCCTTTGTCATTGAAAGCATTAGACTTCGGGTGAGGCACATTTTTTAGCCAGCTGCTGTGATGGTCACTGTTTGCTTGCTCTAGGATTGGGTCAATATGATTAGCCTCTCGGGCAAGGTCAAAAGCCACGGTTAATGCACCACGGGAGTCAGCAACTACCCAATATATCTCAGATTCGGATGGAATTTAGACAACAGCTATGATATCTGGTTCTTAACACTATGTGCTAATTGGTAGAGGAGACTCCTTCGCCCAACAGTTGGCATGGGTGATCGACTTGATGGTACAAACTAAGCAACATAAACTGTTTAAGGTGGACAGTAAGGTGATTCCACCGTCAATTGGGACTGTCGAATTACTCAGTCTATTCGTTATCTTCTCAGAAGCTCATGTTTAATTCAGTACCTGGCTAGAAAATTGGATGTGTTTTGGCGACTTAACAATATTTTGGATATTTGTGATACGATACGCATCGAAAGTCACGATCGCACCGCGCAATTACTCGAGCAGGACTAGTTAATTAACTATCCATATTAGGTTGAATTTTAGGTTGAGCACACTGCAAGCGGAACAGAACTAAGAGCAGTGGGAGCAGACGAGTGTTTGTAGCGTACCACTAAAATCACCTCTTTGCACTATGTTCAAACTCACAGACGGTAGGAGGACCAAGTGGTAGGTGGTTATGTAAAACTGTAAGCTGAATCGTAAAAGACGAAACATTGTCGAAAAGAATATGCAGTCACTGAGGTATTTGGGTCACATTTATTCAGTCCCTCCGATATGATTTTCAAACAAGTATGACAGCAATAGGTTCACCGACACATCAGAAGGGGAATGTGTTTGTTAAAATAGCTTTAACTCACTGAAAACTTGCAATTATTGTATTTGAAAGGTCCTGAAAGGTCCTCTTGTATCGTTAATAAACTGTGGCTTGTCTACCAACGACTAGTTTCAGTTTGATATACGATCAAGTGGTTTCTAATTTACAGTAGTTTTACCTGAAAATGTGAATGAGTATTCTAAAATAGCACTAAAAATTTGGCGACCACCCAACGGTTAACGATGCAAACGTTATTTAGGATCAAAGTAAATTGTAGAAAATAACTGATCCATACAATTTACTGCAAATGTATGAATTATTCCTAACATAGACCCTAGAATCTGTAATCTCTCTTGTTTCAAAGATTTAACTTAGAGAAATACAAATCTGCAACCGAAGTCCAAGGACTCGGAATGAATTTTTATATAAAACCGTGAGGGTAGGAGTGTCAGAAGTTAGTTTTCAGCACAGCGATCAACCCTGTGGTGAATCGGTGGTGGCAGTCACGCACGAAGCAACGAAAGAAGGAGAACTGCGTTTTTGTACATTGGCGATCGACGGTTATTTAGCAGAGACGTGGGTACTAGTAGTACATACCGTAATTCTGTCTATTGAGATCATATCTTCAACTTCACCATTTGTCATTCAATTGAGTGCAAGAAAAGATGTATACTTATGAATAAATTTGTCTTTTCTACGGTTTAATCCACAACGGTTACCATATTGAGAGTTCTCCGACGCTGATACCCGACCTGGTTACTACAATTTCCGAAGAATCACTGAACGGGTCATCATTCAAACTCACTAAGAATCATACCCTTACAGATGGGAAGTATCAAATAAAGCTCAAGCATCATTAATTTTAAAAATTTCGATTTCTGTAAATACTATGGGGTGGCAATTACATTTGGCACCTCGGGCAGAAGGACTTTCCATTCTCTACCTACCCGTCCATTTCTTGTGGAGGGAAACACTGAAGACTGTGATCTTCTTGAGAAGGGTAGCGTAACGCTTAGTAACCTCGCCAAGTGCTGGGAGCTCACTTAACCTTTTGGGCTCATGGTGTTTCTTTTTTTCTTGCTTTGCAGATTAATGGCAAACCCCGAACAACGGAGGACCGGAATGCCGGTATGTACTCACAAGCCCATGATCGTCTGAACAACTACTCCTCTACCGTTCCGTCGTCCGCTCAACCTCTGTTCTTCTCAGGCAGCGGAAACACAATCCGGGAATCGCTCTGTTGAGCATCCATATCAGTTAAGCTTCTCGTCACACGAGGGTCAGATTAAGTTGGCTGTGACGTGGTTCGAGTGTAAAAGCTTTACTTATGCCCTAAAGTATCCTTTCAGGTATCGCTTGACATTCTTTCTGCTTACACTACAGAGGCAGGCAAGTAAAAGAGGTGATTCTGAATCACAAACAAATGGATAATACTGGTATTTCTCACAGGTGAGATCAAACCTTGGGTCAGATTAATTCATTTGGGTCAATGTCTGCCCATGGACAACCAATATACATCCATTCAGTCGATGTTCGATCACCGGCAATTCGGTGACCCGGGATGGAACTGCCGGTTGGGTTGTAATTAGGTTATTTGATAAAGCCTCAACAATAAAGAGATCGTATATTGAATTATGTTTTCCCCTAAATATGCTGATTTGAACTATTTAAACGATTTGTTTAAATCGGTTTGCCTGTCACATGAGATAACGTGACTGCCAAGCCGCCACACGATTCCACACAAACACACTCAGTGAGCGGCAGACTTCTGCCCAAGTCAGAAATAAAATAAAATTTTCGGTCACCCCATTTGACCTTGTTTGTTTCCAACTGATATCATTTCGGGGTGATATCATCTCTTTTTCTACGACAACAGGTATGGCGGAGAGCTTGGATTTTTTTTGTGGGGAAATCGGGAGGCCGGTCTAACTTCGTCACCAAGGAGAGGAACTTTTTTTGAACAAATTTAGATGACGATACTGACTAAGTAACTGTTTCAATAAGATGGAACGAAATCATCATGCATAATATCCCCTGAACTAGATCACAATTGAAGACACACCATTTCGTTTTTGCCTGAAGGGGCTATTCTCGTTGGGTTCGGACGATAAACATTATGTTGTGCTCAGTGTAAGTTTGATATTTCAGTCCAGAAGTATATATGTAATACCAAACGTGCAGGCAAAACCAGTTCTTCTTTTCATTCAAAATATGTGCACAATCGAGTTTGAATGCTATTGGGGTCTCATAATTTTCACTTCCCTCTAAGTCTCCATGGGCGACTTAGTGCAGCCAACGACTTGGCTCGTTCAAGTTAGTGTTGCTTAATCGCGTTTGGAAATCGCTGACTCGTAGTGAATCAGTGGAAATCGGACCACAAAAGCCTCTTCTGTGTGCGCAAAAACAGTTAGACACAGTATCAACTTGGCATGTGGATAATTGCTCCACTTACACATCCGAATTAGAACACCCAGTCACGAGCTAGCCCTATCTTGTCTCCATTGAAGCCGTATTTATTTACTTGCAAGTTCAACGCTGACGACCGGGGAAAATAATATATTTTGTATCTCGTGATACGTTTTTGTAATCAAAGGTGAACAAATACAACTCATCTTATAATATGTTCTATTTTCTGTACCGCTCGTTGTTTTTCTGTATCAATCACAACATTTGCAATAAGGTATGACAAACGGTTCAGTAAGTATAAAAACCAATTGTGACGTCTTCGTGAATACATTTAAAGGACGGACAGTTGCAGAGTGCAGTGCAATTGACAGAGTCAAAGGCCAATTTTAGATTCCAAGAATAAAAATGGGATAGCTATGCTTCGGAATTTCAAAAACGCTAGAGAAATGACCAACGCATCCTGGACCAATCAAAAAAACAGCGTGAGCAAGCGCTGAATGATACTTTAGTGTTTTAAGAGACTCAGATCCACGTTCGCTAACAGCAAATCTCCAAACTGACTTACTTTCGATCGCAGCATACTCGGATATTCGAGTGTAGTTTACAAAAGCTGCTTGTTCCAAACATCGGCGTATTACCTCACGAACTTCTTCCGCAGATGCAGGGGCTCCTGTGTCTTTCATTAAAACCTGATCGAAAAAAAAACAATTTGAAGAAGTATGATGGTTTGTTTTCTACCTGAAACTATATTATTTCAGAATATTATTAAAAACATGAATAAGCACGATACATATGTAATACGTGTTTTTTTGAGTTACCGAACGCGATTCCAAAGAATATACAATCCTAGGGTGGGAAATTTTGCAAAACATCATAAATGCGTAACCCCAGTTACACGTTTGTTTTTTGTACTCGATGATCACAATTTGAAATGAATTCTTTTTTATTTATTTCGTTTCAAAAGCCAATTTGTTCTTACTATTGTTAAGGTTGTTTTTGTTTGTGGTGTTGATTGCGATGATCATGACGGTAGTGGTCGACGTCGTCGTGTAACACTTATATTCCGACGTTTGATATCAGCGTATATTCGACGCCATCCAAGTCCATGGTTGCAACGTGATCGCAAGATGTTTGATCATCCACAAAGGATTACCACCAAGATGGTCAAGGGCTTGCAAAACCTGATATATGCGGAGAGATTACGATCATTGGAACTTTATTCTGCTCAGTCCCGCCGAGTTGGTTACATAACTTTCTCTTACGCAAAGGGAAAAGCCGTTGTACCAGTCAGTATTGCGTCGTTTGGTTTTCAGACTCCAGCATATGGACAAAACAATTTTAGACTATTATTTTTTTTGTTTATCCGGTCATCTTTGTCGGATAAGATACTACGTTCGCATGTCTATCGTCCCTCTCGAATTGTTGGTTGTCGAAATATATGATTTTTATGTTAGTGCTTGTCAGAAGCATGTTATAAATATGCTCTAAAACCACACGCACATTTGGCACTTGAATGTTTTTCAACCGGGATCCATCCTCCGATCGCATTTTGGCGTTGTCCCCAATGGAAGAGATTCGTATACGAACACTCAACTCCTTATTTGACCTGCGTATTTGGGGACAGAAACAAAGCTTATATGTCAAACCCTTTTAACTCATTTTCTTGAGATTATTTGACTTCTGGCGGTTTTCTAACTTTGATCATACGTGCGTGTTTTTGACTGGAATGCAAGCTTAGGTGGTTAATTAAATTTTACTTATATTGTTCAAATACAATATGTACCATCAGGAGGGTAACCGAGATAAAAAGTGAGATGAAACCTACTCGTTCCAGTAGCCCAAGAGTCAATTTCAATGCTCCTTCGGGACGTCCAAACGGGAAGTAATATCGGAATTCGGTAATTTGCTTCTCGAGTAACGCGTACAACCTCTGTCGGATCTGGATGAACATTTCTCGCTCCTCGTGAAGCACGGTGCGAATGTTGGAATCTTGTCTAGTTAGCGGAAAAAAACAAGGGCAAAAGGGGTTCCCTTGAGGACAGTGGCAGTACTATGAATATCAAATTTGCTTAACACATGAAACGAATCTAATAATTGCAAATGCACAGTCACGTTTGAGTGAGTGAGAACGGTTACTTTAGAAGTAGATGTTCATCTCTCCAAATCGTACCACTGAAGAAGGATGTGATGGATTGATCATGAACTCAAGGGGTTAAATATATGGAACAGGGTTCACCAAAGTTTGACCTGTTAAGCGAAGTTCTTCAATAGATGTTATTCATACTTGAGTTTGTTCTGCATTTTATTTATACATACGTCTTTAAATCAAAACCACTCTCAGAGGTGGTCGGGACCTGATCATTGAGACTTGACTGCAAATCCCGTGAGGTATTCAGTTAGTTCGCATTTGATCCACAGTTATCCGTGAGTAGTGGTGTAAAATGATTGATGCTGATTTGAACTGACCATGCTTTATACTTCAGCGTAACGTAAAATTATTGACTCTTCGGATCAACCATACACTCGGAAACACTAGATTTTAGTTTTGCTTTTACTGCAGCTCATCAATAGTGCATATACAATATCAATCATCCCACACCACTACTCACAAATGGTTATGAGTTAAGTATATGGACCCGTCGTATTTTATTCTCGGGCCTTGTACTCCCTCTCAGTAGTGATTCAGCTGGGCACATGAACGACTAGGGTATTGAAAACTATGGCCGAAATTGTGAATAGATGGCGCAGTAAATTATGTTTTAATTGTTTTAGAGTATACTGTAAGCATTCAACTCGTCCTGGTGGTAGTTACTGTGAGGACCTTTGACAATTGAACTCTCACCGATGTTCGAGCAATAACAACCAGCTGCACGGCAGATGTAGTCTGCTTTTCGATGTGGGTTCAGCTTAACCTTAGTCTCGTACAAATTGTCCGGCATCGCCGACCCATCGAATCGACATTTTTATAACCTAGATCGACGAGACTCAAAATTGAGGTCTGCCCCCGGTCAACACATAGAGAGCTTGGAAAAAGGGGTAGAATAAGGCGGAATCAATTACCAATCAGGCGCGCTGAATGGATCTATCCACAGTGTTTCGTTATCGATTCAAAGGAATGGTTGCTAGATTCAAACTTGGAATGCTGTATGTACACTCGAGTGTAGCACTCATTAGAAATGGTTGGCGCAGTGGTGGCACATGAGCGTTTCATCCGGTGAGTCCGGGATTCAAATCTTAAACGGGTCTTTGAATATGCACTGATGAGAAGCACTTATGCAAGGGAAACTCAGGTTTGCTGGATTCCGAATGTACAATCTCACTGGAGGAACTGAGGGTTGGGCATGAAAACGGAGTTTGAAGGATGGTTAATTTAAATCACTAACATTAATCTTACAATAATACTCATGCGTAACCGTGACTTATAATGCGACTTTTAATGCTGCTAACCCTCTTGTTCTTTACATAACAACACGCATCCCCAAAGCACTTACAAAGCCACCCTATGCACTGGGTTCGCAGAATCACAACGATTGTACCAACGGAATAGACGGAAGTATATACGGATTCCATCTTGGGTCAGATCCAGGTTGGCCGAGTTAAGTGATCAGTGATAATTCTATAATCTCATGCCTCGAGCACACACAAGCATCACCCAGCCCTAACAAAAGCACGCTCAACCACATTACATCATTATCAACCACCACAATAACACGAGAAACGTAAATACACAAACAACCTGAATCATCGCTCCCCATCTGTTGATGAATTACTCGACCAGCTGATTTAAGCTTATAAATGCTGACACCAACCCCCGGTTTCTCGCATTCGCAGAATCTGTTGCAATTAGAAGACGTGCATGTGTGCAAGACAAATTGTCAGTTACATTGCCGCAACTTAGCTGTGTGATCAGTTGATTCTGTCATATTTGTGTGTAACTGATGAACTATCAAAGGGGAACGAGTGTTATTTTACACCGTTGTGTATTACTTGAGATGCAGCAGGGTTGTACTCTCTATTCGGAAACGATTTACTCTTCACGTCGTGTGAACAACAAAGAAAGTGAGCTTGGCATTGGTTGCCATTAGGAGCAGGTTATAGATGAAAAATGAGAAGCAGAAATCCAAACTGCCATTCTTGACTGGTAGATCTGATAGCCCAAAAGAGGAGGCCACAAACACTTGCTCAGTATCATTCACGGTTAAGTCAAACAAAGGAATCACTTTACGAACCCCGAGGGTGAATATTCAGCAACCACACGTGTACACAGGTCACAGCTGACCTGGGACGGACTAGACAGTGATCGTGAACAGGCATGCGTTTGTGGGTGTATTGTTCCCAATCACTTCACTTCTACCCTACCGGCTTTCATCTGAACAGCGTCACGTGAACGCAGTCGGTAACCTTGTGATTTCCATCTCACATGGAAGATAAAGTAAATTCATTGGTAACTTTCGTAGATAAGGTGGTGCGAAGTGCTGCAAATCATGAAACAGGCTCTAAATCGTCAGTTCAAAGAAACGAGTATACGATTTTGATCGTTGTAAATAGAGATAAATTAATAGAAAACATCATCCATTCAAGCAGAAAGCATGCTTCCACCGCCTGATTTTCGGGTAATAGAATAAAATTCATGAAATGATAGACGGTTTCGACCTTTTCTACCCTGGAAGTCAAGATGAAAAGGATTAAAGAAGGGGAAATAAACGGGGAAATACTTTCGTCACAGACGATAACAAAAGTTTTATTATCTAAAACTATGTAAAAAGAGTTTAACAAAGGGCATCGTGAAAATCGAAGCCAAAATCTGTTGGGATTTAATTACTAATTATCCTGAAGTTCTCCTACAGTCGTACTTTTTTTAAAGGACCTGTTCCTCTGCCAGCAGTAGTCCGCATATGGTGGTTGTACAGTGTTTCATTCACTATCACTTGTGAACCTTGAACCCTATGACCGAGGTTTGAACCCCGCCACCATTGCTAGCTTTGCTGTCGTCCGGTTCAATATCACGTGTAACCTAGCTGGACTTTATGTGGTTCGCCACTTCAAGTATCGGGGCTTAGGTTGTGGGTTCCATCACTGAACAGTACGTCTTCGCCTCGCTGGGATCCATCCCGCCTGCTGGTCATCGTACGAATATATCTAATTAAAAAAAATGCATAGAATTCTTTTCTACAAAATAGCATAATTATTTATCTTCCTCAAAATTCGTTTCCATCCTCGCTCCAGGAACGGTGTCATGGAGTCGGTCTGTTATAGTCATTGCTGATCAATTCGCTACAGCGTTCCTTCCCATGGCGATAATATTTCACTAAAATGTGAGGGCAAAATGTGCATGATTTTCTAGCTCAAAGGAACGCTAGTCCATCTATACTAGCTGTAACACCCTTATTTTAAGCCTATGAACAGTGGTGTACACTGATTCCAAGACAGTCATCGCCTCCATTTGACTATGCGATTGAATGCGTAAATTGCTTTTCTGAGAGTGTAAACTGCGCATGATCGGAAGACCTTCCCAATAAGCTGCGAACTTCACACACCGGTTCAATGCCTTGTTGTGAGAGGGCGGTGGATGGTTGCGTTGTCAGACCAGCCAAAAGTTCCATTCGAGCCTCCTAGAAAATAGTTGGTTTTGACTTGGAAATTCCGGCGGTATCGTACCATTCTATATCCTATAGCTTTTTGGGTCATGATCCACTTAACAGTCTGAACATGCACAGGTGCAAAGTACAAACACAAATTTCTATTTATTCATGTTGTGTAACAAGTTGAAGAGTCTACTGAGAAAATAAGTGTCAACACACTGTATTTTGCTAAGAACACGGATTATTCTGATAATACTGTATTATTAATTTACTTCGCATAATCCTGGTTGATCAACTTGACATTTGATGGAGTAGTGGAACGTCAGTCGTCAGAAATTTACAATACTGGGTCCATCATGATGGATTAGTAATAGGCACTAGAGAGCAACAACATGAAAACTAGTTTTGACGCGGGGAGAAAAAATAAACGGTAGAATTCTGTCAATGTTTAACACGAACGTAAATTGCCTACATCGTGGACGTAGTTTTTCCTATCGTAAAAATTTGCAAGCCCTTAATCACCAGATTTACATGCATTTCGGAGTCTGCTGACAGGTACGTGACTTGTGGTGTGTAATTTGGTTGGCTTTTTCTCGCCAAATTCACTGTATACACGTATGCCAACGAACAGAAAGTAGCCGGTCACTTTTTTTATCTCTTGGTAATTTTTATAAACTGCCGAAAAGAAACTTTTATCGGATTTTTCTTCCCCATGGACGGAATGGAAGCTCTCTTTAGGTAAGGTACAGAAACCTAACATGTATACATCATAAAAAACGAATTTCCTTGTGTAGGTAAGTCAAATTTCATCATGTGCAGCTTGCGCAGTAAATATTCGCGCAAGAAGGCAGAATGCGATCAATGGCGATTCATAAACAGTATTCTGTTGGATTGAGCAATAATCTACTTTCCCAATCCAGATAATTCAAAAACGCTCGAGGAAACTCGGTGTTGGTGTTTTGGTTGGTGATGACTGAATAACTGCAGGCACGTGATTTTATCTAAATCGATACCGTATTTCTTCCAAACGGGATTGTCGATGTTGACTGTTGATGCACAGTGTGTGAATCGTGAACTCTGGTTGTATAACTTTTTACCAAACGATGAGTAGAGTTTAATCATTGACCTCAACTCAGAACTTCCTATAACGGGTCAACTTCGGACATATGACCTGACATCATCTTAAGGGAACCATACCTGTATTTGGTAGTGAAAAACCAGTAGTAATTTTTACACTATGAATTGAACCTGGTCCATTGGAAACAACTTACGCGTTTCCAAACACGTGACAGCAGCAGAAAGCATACGAATAGTGAATCAGTGCTGGATCGATCATGATCCCGTGTTCAGCTCGATCGAGCAGATCGGACAAGTAGCACAAATGTCGATGACATCCACGGACCCCGTAGCGGGCACAATATTCGTCCAGAATAAACATCTGGCTCGGACTGAACCAGCCCAGGGACACATACGGATCTTTCATTCGATGCTCAAGAGAGTGCGACTGTAGGAGACGGAATAGATCTGCATGATTGACACGCCACGATTCTACACTGACAAATTCGTCCAATCCGTGTTTTCGTGCCCGGTCCACATCTAAACAGATTGGGGATTTTCCAAAGATAAGGGAGAATGAGTATGGTTAGGTATTGAACGAAAGAAGAGTGCAATCTTGTGATAGTA